GTAGCATGGCCATCCCCCCAGGGAGTGACTTCTCACTTTCTGTCTCTGTCTCTCTCTTTGTCTTTCCGGCATGTGCACACGCCCTATAGCAAAAACCTCTCCAAATAAATAAATAAATAAATAAATAAAATTTTTAAAAATAAAGTATTATCAAATTTGATAGAAGAGATCACATTAAGGTTGGAAGTATCAGAAAAGATGCTCTTTTTTAGAGAAAGTGGACAGACATTAAATAATGGGCAAGGCATTTGCAGAATCAGATAGGGACATTCCAGGCAGACAAAATCATCTGTGCACAATAGAGAAATGGGAAAGCAATTTATTTAGGAAAGATGAAAAAGTATACTCTGACTATATGCTCAGAGTACTCTAAAAGTATACTCTGGTGGTTTTAAGTGAAAGAGAATAATGAGACCCAAGGATTTTAACCTTATTTAAGTAGAACGGGGAAGTAATTGAAGGCTCTTGGAGAAAGGGAGTAGCCGACTTGGTGTGCTTTAAGATGGGCCAGTAGATGGCATAGCAGTTACTTCACTTGACTCCCACATGGCAAACCACGGTTTGAGTCCCAGACCCGGTGGCTTGAAAATCACACTCTGTGTGTGTGTGTGTGTGTGTGTGTGTGTGTGTGCCCAAGGTCCCAGGAGGAGAATGGAGGAGAACAGATTGCGGTGTGGCCATCCCCCCCGGGGGGGTGATTTCTCACTTTCCCTCTCTGTGTCCATCTCTCTCTCTCTCTCTCTCTCTCTTTATCCCCCCCCCCACCAGCTAGCACACATACCCAAGGCAAAAAAAAAGGATAATTCATCTGGTGGGGCCAGTAGGTGGCATGGTGGTTAAGGTGCTGAACTCCCATATAGCTGACCATGATTGGAGTCCCAGAACTAGTGTCTTGAAAATCACATCAGACAGATGTGTGTGTTCCCAGAATCCCAAGAGAAGAATAGAATAAAATACATTGCAGCACAGTCACCCCTACAGTGAGGGTTGGGGGTGATTTTTTTTTCTCATTCTCTGTATCTCTGCTCTTTGGCGAGCACACTCACCCTATGACAAAAACCTAAAAAATTAAAAGAAAAAAAGAAAAAGATAATTCATGGTCTGAGTGGAGATGGAAAAGAGGAAGCACAGTGAAAGACCTTGTCAAGTTGCTATCTAACAAATCTGCCCATTGATGAGTTTCTAGAAGAGGCAGAGAGCTGTATCAGGCCTGAAGACCGAGTAATTTAAAAAGACAGTGATACTATTAACAAAGGGAAAGGAGAAGAGACTGGTTTGGTGACAAAAAGGATGAATTCAGTTTGCCATACCACCAGTTCAACTTGCCAGTAGAGTATCCTGAAAAAGATGTCAAGGAACTAGATGAGAGTGAAGGGCTTAAACACCAACAGGAATTTGAAGATGAAAGATGCAGATTCCTGTATTCTCTGTATAGGGATAAAGTGTACTTTAATACAAATGCAATAACTTTGAGTCTAATAGGAGAAGACAAATGTATTTTTGATTAAGTAAACTAGCTTACATCTTCTCTCAAAATAAAAATTCTATCTCTGGGGCCAGTAAGTGGCATGGTGTTTAAGACAGTGGATTTCCACATGGCTGACCACAGTTTGAGTATTCGACCTGAAGGCTTGCTTTCTCATTTTCCCTTTCTCTCTGTCTTTCTCTGATCAAATTAAAATAACAACAAATGGGATTAAATAAATAAATAAATAGATCTTTTTTAAAAAGTCTATCTTCAATCTCCTAAAACCAATGACTTCTTTGAAACAAAATAAATAAATAAATGTCCTAAGGTCAAAGAGTTTTTATTTTAAAAGAAAGAACATGAAAAAACACAGTATGTCCTGGTAATACTACTTCCATGAGTGCAGTCTCCAGCCTCAGACTTTTAATCTTCTCAAATATTCATAAAATAATTGAAAAGTCAATAAAGTTAAATTTATTTGTAATTCATTCTTCGTTCAGAATTCATAATTCTGCCAGACTGCTCTGAAATTGGCCTTTGAAACTTCCATTACAAAAGGGTTTTCTAAGGAAATAGAAATCATCAAAATAATAACATTCATAAACCTAGATAGTAAATACCTAGAAAGCACTTACACACCCAAAAGCTGTTAAGGGAGTTATTTTTTATTTTATTTTATTTTTTTTGTTTTATTTTTATTATTATTATTTTTTTTTTTGAAGAGGTTTTTGCTATAGGGCACGTGCGCTCGCCAGACAGAGAGACAGAAAGCAAGAAATCACGCCCCAGGGGGGATGGTCACGCCGCAGTCCCTTCTCCATTCTCCTCTCGGGATCTTGGGCACGCTCGCACACGCGCCCTGTGTGAGTTTAAGCCACCGGGTATGGGACGCGAACTGCGGTTACCTACATGGGAGTCCAGCGACATAGCCATTACGCTAACTGCTGGTCCCTATATTTTATTTTTTTAAAGGCAGGGGTCTTACTATGAATAATCTCTTGCCTCAGATTCCCAAGACTTAGGCACTTTTAGGGACCCTCTAATGGAAAGGGCCTCCCATGTGGCCTCAGCCTATGGAGTAGCAAGCACTGTGTGCTACATAAGCTCCACCTGTAATTTATTATCAATGCATTTCACTTAGGTTAATTTAGTTTTCAATCAGAAGGAATGAAATTAATAACACTTTTCGTTTGTCTTCCCAATTTATCAAAATTTGTGAAAAATTGTTTCAATAATAATTTGTACAGTTAAACTATGAACTAGGCAAAAGTTAGTTTTCGGTGACTCTCAAGCTCTTATTCTTGCACTTTTCTCCCTCTCTGAATTTGTCTATCAAAACCTTTTCAAAATAGCGCTGATGGGACCAGCAGTTAGCGTAATGGTTATGTCCCTGAACTCTCATGTAGTCCACCGCGGTTCAAGTCCCTGACCCGAGGCTTAAACTCATGCCGGGCACGTGTGTGTGCGTGCCCAAGATCCCGAGAGGAGAATGAAGGAGAAGGGATCGCGGCATGGCCATCTTCCCTACGGGGTGATTTTTCGCTTTCTATCAGTCTGTCTGTCTTTCTGGTGAGCCCACGTGCCCTATAGCAAAAAAAAATATAGCGCTGATAAAGTGTTCTGTACTAAGGCAATCATAGTCCATCTTTTTGAAAAACAAGGCACTTTTGGAACAGAATGTGTCTTCTGGTGTCCTGAAGTCACATCATAAACCTACGTATGGGAGGTACCGTAAAGTCACCAAAGTACACTGAAGTCAAGCATTTAGGTATGCAGTTTCTTTTATCCGTATAAGGAGCGTTGGTTTAGGTATGGGGTACAAACTTGTTCGGGAATCGTCAATTTGTTATGCATTTAGCAGGGATAACTGTAGTTCATCCGGTAGGGCACCAGTGGGTGAAGTACCTGTCAATCCAAGAGAAAGGCCACTTCAAGAAAGACAAGACTGTGTCTTCAACCGGAGCTCTGGTGCAGAAACTGCGCGCTCTCGGTTACTTCTCAGCTACTTTGGCCAGCACAAAGAAGCATGGGAACACTAATGAACATCAGGGACGTGGGTGACTGAATTACAGTCTGCATTAAAAGGCACCTTTTGAAATTCGGAGGTTTCAAAGCCCTGCGCTCCACGGTAACCCGGTGGGGCCGGGAAGAGCGCGTTCCCGGAGAACCTGACACGCAAGGCCATCAACAGACAGCCTGCCGAGGCAAGGCCGAATGAGCCGCAGAAGCAAGAGAGAAACACAGCCGAGGGCGGGCCGCACAGGGTCCGCGTGCGCCGGGCCCGCAGGAAGACCCAGACCGCGAGGACGCGACGCGCGGCCCCGCCTCCCCGCACGCGGGTCCGCCCCGCGGGCTCCTCAGCCTCTGCCACCAAATCCACCTCTGCCTCCTCTGCCTCCAC